ACACACCAGCTAGAACTTGTCAAGTGTCAGCTGCCCTGTGACTCATTATGTTATTCCTTATGGGAAAAAAATGTTTGGTATTCATCATTTTTGGTACTCATTGCGCCTCCTGGAACCAATTAACGATGAGTATTCAGTTTCACCTGCATGGGAATTAAAAAGGTATCGGGCAAAGTTTCCATATTTTACTGGCCACAAAACACACGAGTTTCTAGAGACAAAAAAAAAAAAAAAAGTTTTACTAGGCAGGCCAGGAAGATTTATTGGGGTGACCAGTTTTTTGAAAAGTGCTTTCTATAACTCACAGATACCCCTTTAGAAAAATGCAAGAGGGGGGAGGGGCTGAGATGGCTTGAGGTCCCTCCCTCCTGAGCAAAGGAATACTAACCCTGAGATTTGTCCTGTCCTTAGCACCTCCTACCGTGTTTCCCCGAAAATAAGACCATCTTATATTTTTTTGAACCCCGAAATAAGCGCTTGGCCTTATTTTTGGGGAGGTCTTATTATTTTGGGGCGTGTGGAGCAAGACAGGGATCCTCTTGCCGTCGTACCTGATTTCCAGCTCTGTCTCCCTAACCCTAACCAGAGGAAATGGCGGGGACTGGCTGTGCATGCCCTTAAATATTTCTGGGGAGGGCTTATCTTTGGGGGAGGTCTTATTTTCAGGGGAGGGCTTATTTTCGGGGAAACACGGTTATCATTTTAGCCCCCAAAACCAGACAGCAGAGAAGCATTATGAAAAGAGGAAAGACGCCCCACCATCCCGATGGCACTCTTATAGAAGACGAGGCCAGGAAACCTTAACATTCAAGAGCGAGGGAATTCGTCGAGAGCATTGGCCCAGTGGGCAGCGGCTGAGAAATAATGTGGTTTTGGGTGACAACCTCAAAAGCAGAATAGGGTGGAGTCTGCACCATCCAGGGATGTCCTATCGCTTTGCCTATTGTTGGAACAAAAGATTTGGAGAGAGCATATAAACAGGGAGACCTCTTAACAGGAATCCAAACTATAACTACAATGGAGTCAGTGATGGTATTCAGCCGGTTCAGACGAATCGGTAGTAGCGGCTACCACTGCCCAGGTGCTCTGCTGTCCTATTTAGCCACGTTTTCTTCGCACGCATGCTTGCGAAGGTGTGTGCATGAGTGAAGCGAGCATGCGTGGGAGCTCACACTGTTGATGCTGGGCGAACTGGTAAGCACATTATATGAATCCCACCTCTGAATGGAGTGTAATGGTTCTGGAGGCCAGGCTGTCCACCAGATCCAGCTACCCATTCTTAGGCCATCTTTTCCTTAGGATTATCAATAGAAGATCAGTAACAGAGGGTGGAATTGTGGTTTTTTTTTTGTTGTTCTGAGCTTGGTTGTTTTCTTGTAGACATTTCATCACCCAACTAGGTAACATTGTCAGTGCAGTAAGGAGTGGGGTTTATGGAGAGGAAGAGGACAACGACTATGGTGACGTCGGTGCTCTCTGAATTTGGTTGTTTTCTTGCAAACATTTCATGACCCAACTAGGTAACATCATCAGTGCTTGAAGGGAAGGGGTTTTTCCTCTCTTTTATTTACCAGTTGTTTTCCCTGTCAGTGTTGGTGGGAATGTCCTTGGTGACTCCTTGATTAGGCTGTTGTTTATTGTTGGGTTGTTGTTGGAGTTGGTAATTCCTTGACTTCACTCCCTTTTAGCACTGATGGGGTTACCTACTTGGGTAATGAAACGTCTGCAAGAGAACAACCAAGCTCCGAGAGCATCAAGAACCCCCCCAGTCCTTCTGTTCTGTAACCCATCACTCTCCCAATATGCTAGCACTGGCAGTTGGAACTACAGAACATCTGGAACGGCTATCCCAAAACTTATGGGAAGCAACCAAGTGCTCACGGCTTCCACAGGATCATAGATTTCTCTGGAGATTCTCAAGTCACCCAGGTCATGGTTGTCCCAAAGGCGCTTTTTCAAAAAGGACTTTCTTTGTTTTTGCTTGAAGACGTTTCGCTTCTCATCCAAGAAGCTTCTTCAGTTCTTTGGAAGCAGCTTCTTGGATGAGAAGCGAAACGTCTTCAGGCAAAACAAAATCCAGTTGTCCTTTGAAAAAGCACCTTTGGGGCACAGGATGAGAGTGTTGTGGCCTGTCGGCTGCCAGTCCCTCCAGCAGCCGAATCAAATGAGGAGACGGCGTAGAAGTCAGGGCCAGCATCAAGGCCACCTAAGAGCTGAGGGGGAAGAGAAAATGGAGCTGTCAGAGAGAGAGAGAGAGAGAGAGAGGTGGAGCCTGGACCGTCCGTCAGCCCTCAGATGGAGAGTTAACAGCCCCCAGATCTGGAGGTGGCTGATGAGGAAGAGGAGGAACAGCTGGGTCCAGTGCCTGACACACGAATGCACAGAAGGCAGAGGAGAGGAGAGCAGTGGAAATCTATGGGCCGGTCCTTGGGACGGAAGAGCCACCGCTGCTAGCGCAGCCCCACCCTAGCTCTGGGGATAAAAGGCAGGGGGCGGAGATGAATAGGTGTGGCAGACAATTATTCATCGCCCTGCCGGACAAACTTGTTAAGCCTGCGTTGAGAAACTTTTTGCCGGGGCTGCTGGCGCTCCTAATAAGGAAATCATTAATTTAAACAGAGGGATTGTTGTGTTTGGGGAGCTGGGTCAGAACAGTTTCCAGCGGAGAAGGGACGAAACGTGCATCACGGGCCAACTCCACTCCTTACGTACTTCCAGGGCGATGTCACAACTCTTTAATAATTTGTGCATGGATGGGACCACAATGGGAAGGATCCACACTTCTCCAGTGAGTCGGGAAGAGAAAAAGCTGCTTTGGGCATATCCATTCCATTCTGGCAGGTCATTTAAGGGAAAAGTTGTTCTGTCAGACCAATGGTCCACCTAGAACAGAACGATCAAAGAGATGCTTCCGATAATCTCACCAACAGATTATGAAGTACAGGTAATCCTCGATTTAGAACAGTTCACTTAGTGACCGTTCGAGATCACAAGGGCACTGATAACAGTGACTTATGACCGTTTTTTCACACTTACGACCATTGTAACATCCTCGTGGTCACATGATAAAAATTCAGAGGTTTGGCAACTAGCTCGTATTTATGACGGTTGCAGTGTCTCGGGGTCATGTGATCCCTTTTTGCGACTTTCTGACAAGCCGAGTCAATATGGGGAAGCCGTATTCACTTAACAACCGTGTTACCGTGTTTCCCTGAAAATAAGACCCTGTCTTATATTTTTTTTGAACCCTGAAATAAGTGCTTGGCCTTATTGCCATGCGCTCAAAAGCCCGACTGGGCTTATTATCAGGGGATGTCTTATTTTGGGGAAAACAGGGTAGTAATTTAACAATTGCAGTGATTCAGTTACCAAGTGTGGCCAGAAAGGTCGTAAAACGGGACAAAACTCACTTAACGAATGTCTCACTCAGCAACAGACATTTTGGGCTCAATTGTGACTGTACCTCAAGGGCTACTACATCAACTGAGTGAAGAAGGCCTCATTCTGGTTCCTAAGCCATGAAGATTATGGATCCTACTACTGCCCAATAGGAACTGGAGAACCTACAATCAGATCTATCAGAATAGAACTGGAAGGGGCCTTGGAGGTCTTCTAGTCCAACCCCCTGCACCTTCTCCGCCCAGTTCTCCTCCCTCCTGGGAAGAGAAGTCCAAAGATCAGCCTGCCCAAATTAGGAGACCCCATCCACTTCTTGAGTTGGAAGACTAGTCATTGCTCTTCGGTGTTCTTTCCCATGTTCCTGCTGACTAGAGACATCATAGCTGTAACCTATCTTCTCTCTTCATCAGTGGGTACCATTCTTAAAGACATCTCTTGGAGATGTCCTTCAAAGCATCTGGGGTAAAAGGGATACAGTGGTTGCTGGTGGAAGGTAGATACCATTGCTACCACCATAGGGCAGCCAAAACTGTAAACTATTCCAGAGAGCCACAATACAGGTAGTCCTTGACTTACAAACAGTTCATTTAGTGACCGTTTGAAGTTATAATGGAACTGGAAAAAAGGGAATTAGGACCATTTTTGGCAATTAAGGCTTTTTGCCGCATTCCCATGGTCGTGTGATCAAAATTCAGACGCTTGGCAGTTGTTTCATACTTATGGCCGTTTCATACTTATGGCATGGGCTTCCGTCCCATGGGGAAGCCAGATTCACCTGGCAACCGGGTTACTTAACTTATCAACTGCGGCAATTCACTTAACAACCGAGGCAAGAAAAGTCGTAAAAAAGAGGCAAACCTCACTTAATGTCTCACTTAACAACAGAAATCTTGGGCTCAATTATGGTTGTAAGTCGAGAACTATCTGCAGAGCAGTTGCTCCAGACAGGGGCTGCTACACTGTGTCTAATGGCAGGGTCATTCATTCATTCTTCTCTGCAGAAGTCTGGTAGACCCACAATTCCATCTGCAAAAGAGCCCCTTAGCTTTTAAAGAAAGGAAGAAAACTGGAATTCAATCTGAAATCCACACATGGCAGTCTTGAAGGACCCTCTTGGTCATTTAAACCCCTGTAGTCCACACAGAGTCATATTTTGGCACCCAGCTGCTTTAAAATGCGTCGAATTCGGTATCCGACATGTTTTGAAGCAGAAATCTTGTCCCGGCACTCATCTTTCTCCTGGTAGCCAATGTGTAAGAACCTGCCAACGTTGGCTACCTCGTGCCTAGTTCTTGAATAGTTGGTCATGTGGTTTTCTCAGTACCTGTCAGTTTTCGTGTCTCTGGAACGGATTACCAACAAGTACCGAGGTACCACTGTACATCGGAGATGGGTGGACAATGTGACCTACAACGATGGGGAGATTTTTGGCCTAAATATTAATTAATTAATTAATTAATTAGGAAGCTTTCTCACAGAGCTTCCACATCAGAGCTAAGTACCAGCTATCTTCTCTTTCCCTTGAAGAGCTCCCTGCTTCTTCTCAAATTGAGGTGAGGGAACCCTACCTAGAATAAACTGTGAACGGAAAGCATTCGAGATGCAGGAAACCTGAACATACTTTTTATAACATCTGAACTTTTCTTAATTCCATTAACATTGGCCTAACCTCAGTTTCCACTCCAACCATCTGAGATCGTTGTGTCTACAAGAACACCATGGAAATAATTCTTAATAAACACGGAAGGAATTTTAAAAAAAACAAACTAAACACAAATCCGTGAGGGAGAGATCAAAACATCCAGGAGATGTGGGGCTTTGGTCTGGTTTCTTCTGCCACGTGGCCCCAGAGGTCTAACCTCCCAATCTGTTGCTGGTTGGTTGCTCCGTTCTACATTCTCCATCTCTAGGCTGGGGGCCAACCCACATTCTGTAATGGAAGTAGAAGCCTGAGTCCTTGATGGCGGCTGGCATAGGCTCTTTTCTGAGGGAAGAAAAACTGGGCAGGAAGTTGTGGAGTGAACTTTCCAACGACTGGACTATTGTCTGTGATCAGAACTCAGCTGTCTTCAGTCTATTTTGTTCTGTAAGCTCATGTGGGAGTTGTTTTTTTTAAAGAAGAAGAGGGGGGAAAAACCAGTAACACCTGTTTGTAGGAAAGGAAATCCTTCACTTGGTGTCTCTTATCAATGGTACAGAAGGGCTTAAGACTCCGAAGATGACCGAGAGACACTCTGGATCAGAGCTTTGTATATGGCAGAGTTCAGGAAACGGGGGTAGGAGTCTCTGTGCATAAGCGTGTAAATCTGTAACTGCGCATCGTCGAAGGTGTGCGAGGAGGGCTCCTGCATCTTGCGGTTGATGCCCTCACGGACACGGGAGTCCAAGCTGACCTGAGAAAAAGGGAGGGTGGGCAAAACACAATAAGAAAGATGATTTCGGCTTTCTTAATCTACGTGTGCCCAATGATTGGGCAACTATTAGTGTGCAGAATTATTATGCAACTAAATGAAAATGTTCCCATCTCACTCGTTTATTTTCATCTGTTTAAAGTGAGGATAATAAACAAACAACTCAAAATGTACAGATAAACATTTCTGACATTTCAAAAAAAGCCATCCCTGTTGACTATTTGCAACAAAACGTTTTGATGGTTCTGGGATCATGCCCTGATATTTTAGCAATTTCAAGGGGGCTGCAACCCTCTGAAAGACGTTTTACAATGTTTGACTTTTCAGAGTCAGTTAAATCTCTTTTTTTTTGGCCCGTTTTGCCTGAGGAAAAGGAGCTGCCTGATAATTATGCACACCTTGATAAAGGGTGTTGATTTCCTTAGGCCACACCCTCCCTCGTTACACAAACACACATCAACTGATCTGTTTATATTCACTACGCATTCCACTTTGGGAAAAACAGAATAACAAGAGTTGGAAGGGACCTTGGAGGTCTTCTAGTCCAACCCCCTGCTTAGGCAGGAAATCCTACACCACTTCAGACAAATGGTTAGCTAATCTCTTTTTAAAAACTTCCAGTGTTGGAGCATTCACAACTTCTGGAGGCAAGTGGTTCCACTGATTAATTGTTCTCACTGTTAGGAAATTTCTCCTTAGTTCTAAATTGCTTCTCTCCTTGATTAGTTTCCACCCATTGCTTCTTGTTCTGCCCTCAGCAGGGTTCTGCTTTGGAGAATAGTTCGACTCCCTCTTCTTTGTGGCAGCCCCTGAGATACTAGAACACTGCTATCATGTCATCCCTCGTCCTTCTTTTCATTTATACAGTTTATACAGCTTGGAGGTGGAAAATATGCATAAAAATTATGATATGGTCAAAATACTCACTTGCCTAATAATTGCACACACGATAAGTCTTCAGGTAGAATGAGAAAACATTGGAAAAGTTTCTGGACTGCTAAGGTAAGAGAAAAAGGGCCCAGGCACTATCATTTACCAATTGAATGAAAACTGGTATTTGAATTTGGTTATCTGAAACATTTTGGGGTGCTGGAATAAAATAGGAAAGGAAATACCTCCTTGGGAGAAAGGATGGAGATATAATCTTCATAGATCATCCGTGCTTTCTCGTCGATGGCACGCTTGTTGCATTCGCTTTTGAGCTCCTCGCAAGCTAACCAAAAGAGCATATTTTCCTCGCTGTATTCAGTCCGTAAGAATTCCCGAAACACGTTCCTGCCAGCTGGGTTTTTCATCAACTTGTCAAACGACTGAGACCAGACCTTAATTTCTTCGGTGGTGGGTTTGGTGCTGAAGGCACAGGAGCCGCGATCCAGCAGAAACAAAGCAAGGTAGAGTGAGTCACAGTGGGAAGAAGAGGAAGAGGAGGAGGAAAAGGAGATGTGTTATTGGAGTGAGATCTTGGTAATTCTTGCACAACTTCTAGAGCAGTGTTTCTCAGCCTTGCGGACTTCAACTCAACCAGTTGAAGTCAACTTCAACAGTTGAAGTCCATACATCTCATCTCATCTCATTCCGTCTCAACTCAACCAGTTCAACTCAACAGTTAGAGTCAATTTCAACAACTGAAGACCACACAACTCAATTCAACTCAACCAGTTCAATTCAAAAACACAACTCAACCAACTGAAGTCAACTTCAACAATTCAAGACCATACAACGCAATTCAACTCAACCAGTTCAATTCAACAACACAACTCAACTCAATCAGTTCAAGTCAACAGTTGAAGTCAACTTTAATAACTGAAGACCACACAACCCAACACACAACACAACTCAACCAATTCAACTCAATAATTGAAGTCAACTTCAACAATTGAAGATCACACAACTCAACTACTTCAATTCAGCAACACAACTCAAGTCAACCAGTTCATCTCAACAATTGAAGTCAACTAACCCACAATTCACCACCACTGTCAAGCTTGCAAGTAATAAGTCCCCAGAATGAGTAATCCAAGGCAATCATATTCAATCAAAGTCCATCTATTAGGAACATATCAACAGTTCAACAACACAACTCACCTCAGCCAGTTGATTCCAACAGTTAAAAGTCCACATGTCTTAGTTGACAAGCTTGCGAAGTGGCGCTCTAGAGCTTTCACGCTCCTTTACTGGAGGCTTTCAAAAACAACTTACAGGTAGTCCTCAATTTATAGCTATTCATTTAGCAACCACTTGAAGCTATAATGGCATGGTACCCTCTCATAGAGAGGGGCTCCTCCGGGTGCCGTCGGCCAAACAATGTCGACTGGCGGCCCCCAGGGGGAAAGCCTTCTCTGTGGGGGCACCTACTATCTGGAACGAGCTCCCCCCGGAGATACGGAGGATCCCGGATCTGCGCACCTTCCGCTGCGCTCTAAAGTCTTTTTTATTTCACCAGGCAGGCCTGGCCTAACTTTCTCCCTCTTTTTAAAATAATTTTAATATTTTAATATGTTTAATATTTTTTAATCCTCAAAGTTTAAATCTGTTTTAAATTGACTGGGGTTTTAATCTGTCTGGGCCAAACTATTTAATTTGATTTTATTTCTGCTTTTTAAAATTTTGTATGTATGTATTTATTGTTGGCTGTTCACCGCCCTGAGTCCTTCGGGAGTAGGGCGGTATACAAATCAAATAAAAGTAAAGTAAAGTAAAGTAAAGTAAAAAGTAGCTTAAGATTGGTCCTCACCCAATCATCACAGTATCCCCACAGTCATATGATCAAAATTCAAATGATAAACAACCAGCCTGTAATTAATAATGACTGCAGCGTTTTAGAGTCATGTGATCACCATTCGTGATCTTCCCAGCTGGTTTCTGACAAGCAAACTCAATGGGGAAGCCAGATTCACTTACAGCAGTGGCCAACATTGTGAAAACCTTTTGGGAAAAGTGTATTTTCTAAAACTAGCTAATAACACCACCTTTTTTGGAATAGTATCATAAAATTATATATGAATGGAAAGATCATTTAATCAAGAATGCAATGCAATAGCTTTTATGAAGGATTTGCTATTAGAATAACAGTTACAGGATAAAGAAGAAAAGTGAAACACGTAGACAAAATGAGATAGACAAAAATTATCACCGTAGAAAAAAACGAGATATACAAAAATGATCCCCATGTCAGTTAATAGTTAGTTGGGTAACCTTTAGCATGAATGACAGCCGTACAACGTCTTCCCATGGAGGGAACCAAGTCTTTGAGTTCTGCAGCTGCTATAATGTGAAACCAAGATTGAAGGACTGCTTCTATTAACTGGGTTTTATTGCTGGGTCGCTTCTGACTAACAAGTTTCTTTAGTCGGTTCCATAGATTTTCAATTGGGTTAAGAACGTCTGGGCTATTCCCAGGCCATTCCAGCAGTGGAATAGGAATATCTTGAAACTCAAAAAAAAAAAAAAAGTGTGACCATCAAACCTCAAAAATAGACTTTTCCCAAAAGGTTTCCACAATTTTGGCCACTACTGTTAACAAATGCAGTAATTCGCTTAACAACTGTGGCAAGAAAGGTCATAGAATGGAGCAAAGCTCTCTTAACCAATGTCCAACTTAGCAACAGGGTCAATTGTGGCTGGAAGTTAAAGACGACTGTATCTCCTTAGCTTTTAGTAATATAAGATTCACACCATACAATGAAATAAGGAAGAGAATGTCACGAGCCGACATAATTTGGCCGATGGCACCCTGAGGAGACCCTCTCTGTGGGAGTGGACTGGCCGGTGGGAGGCTACTGGTGGCAGAAGACGGTCTCGAAGGTACCCAGGTCCAATGCCATGGAGCGCTTTAAAGGTGGTAACCAACACCTTGAATCGCACCCAGAAGACCACTGGGAGCCAGTGCAGCTCTCGCAGGAGGGGTGTCACGTGGGCACAACGAGTTGCGCCCATAACCACCCGTGCGGCCGCATTCTGGACGGTGCTTTTCAAGGGGAGCCCCATGTAGAGAGCATTACAGTAGTCCAGCCAGGAGGTGACTAGGGCGTGAGTGACCATGCACAAGGTGTCGCGATCCAGAAAGGGCTGCAACTGGCGAATCAAGCGAACCTGATAGAAAACCCCCCTGGCCACGGCTGTCATATGTCAGATGCACGTCAAGTACTTTGAAGTTCCGTTGAGGTCAACGATGAAATTTAGAGTTGGTTTTGAAAGCTCAGCTCTTGGTTTAGGTCTCAAATGGATGATATATCCTTTCTTTATGAGACTGAATTCTCTTCTACAGCACTCCAAAGGAGTTCTTTGAGCAGCGAACAACAGAAAATGGCAATCCATCAAGGGGTCCAAAAACACGCTCCTTAAACAATGCAGCTAAGTTCAACCTAATTGTTCTGGGTTTGTAGTCCCAAAGGTGCTTTTTCTCAAGAGGCAACTGGACTTTCTGTTTTTACTTTGAAGACGTTTCACTTCTCACCCATGAAGCTTCTTCGGCTCTGATTGGATGGTGAGAAATGGAAGGATCCAGATCAGAGCTGAAGAAGCTTTCTTGGATGAGAAGCGAAACGTCTTCAAAGAAAAAAACAGTTTGCCTCCTGAAAAAAGCACCTTTGGGACAACCTGGATGACTGAGAATCTCCATAGACATTCTGGGTTTGCACAACACATTTCTGTTGTGACCTAGGCTTCCTGAGTCATTAAAACACACGAGTAGTCCCAAAAACCTCTTTTATTGCAACAGCTGTGAATTACGTTCATTCACAGCTGAGTCCCAATTAGTTGCAAAAAGTCCTGCGGGAGAAGTCCTTCGGGATAATCGCCAACTTTTATCTCCCTTGACACTCTGCCAAAGATCTACTTGGCAAAGCCACAAAGAGTCAAGAATCAAATAGAGATGCCGACTGGGAACAGAATTAACAACGTTGCTTTCCTGCAAAGGGCCCACCTGCCTTTGCTCCTCTTTTAAGCCTTATGGGAGGACCAATCATCTCCAGGCCTTACTCCCAAGTTGTCCCTTTTGCTTTAGCTGCTCTTGCTTTCTGGCAGCTCTGCGCATGTGTGCACTAGGAACAGGCTCCTTCTGTTCCTCTGCCTCTCTGATGTCCGACTCTGGAGGCTCTGGAGTCCGTGCATAACTCCCAGATGGCCCTGACTCCATCTCTGTCTCCGACGCAGAGCCCTCATCCGAGCCTTCCCCAGACTCCAGGACTGGCCCATGTTCCTCCCCAGCCTCCTCACTGTCCGACTCCACTGCCAGCTCTGCAGGCTGCTGGCAGACCACAACAATTTCAACCCACCAAACAAGCTGAGTTCACACAGCACAACAGGCCACCTTAAACCTCGAACCCTGAGTCAAACCAACCAAGCTTCTTGTTTAGTTGTACGCCGCCCCACAAAAAGACTCACAAAATCAAACCCCAGTAAAAGCTTAGCATGTCGTGCAAACCCCCATCTGGCCAAGATCTTCAACTGGCCTGGTTAGGATTGCAGTGTAAATGCAGCCCTGATTTGCAGCCAGATTCAAGCAGGTTTGTGCGAATGCCCATCAGCCAAGCAGAAAAAGAGTCTCACCAGGATTCACAGTTTGGAATGGTCTCCAATTTCGTTTCGCGAGATGCTCTCCAGGCCCTTTCCCGGTCTTCATTCCTATCGATGGAAAAAAAAAAAAGAGAGAGAGAGAGAGAGAAAAAATAAGATGAGAAACAAAACATCTTCAAAAGAAAAAAAACAGAAAGTCCAGTTGCCTCCTGAAAAAAGCATTTTTGGGACAACCATGACCTGGATGACTGAGAATCTCTACAGACTTTTTAGAGAAAATAAGAATTTTTGAAGATCTGAATCAAACACAGTTGCTTTATCAATTACAGGTAGTCCTTGATTTACAACCTTTCACTTAGTGATTGTTCGAAGTTACAATGGCACCGAAACAAGTGACTTTTGCACACTTAAAAAAACATTGCAAAATTCCCAGGGTCAGGTGATCAAAATTCAAGACACTTGGCCACTGATTCATATTTATGACGATTGCTATCTTTGTGACAAACCAAGTCAACGGAGAAAGCCGGATTCACTTAACAACCGGGTTACTAACTTTATAACTGTAGCGATTCACATATCAACGGCGGCAAGAAAGGTCGTAACATTGGACGAAACTCGCTGAACCACTGTCGTGCTTAGCAATTGAAGTTGTGGACTCCATTGTGGTCATAAGTTGAGGACTAACTGTATGGCTATATTTTAAAGCATTCAAGCAAGGCAGTTTGGTGTAGTGATTAAAGCCTCAAATTGGAAACCAGGAGACTGTGAGTTCTAGTCCGGCTTTAGGCTGGTTGCTGGCTGGGGAATTCTGGGAGTTGAAGTCCCAAACATCTTCAAAGTTGCCAAGTTTGAAAAACACTGGTCTAAGCGAAGGATTTCTCAAGCAATTGCGGACCTCAGGAAAGAGAAAACAATGTTGTCACTGGCACTTCAATTTTCTCGGGTTGATTAATAGCAAGATCAACCACAAATGTTGAGTCTGTGCACACGTCATCCTTAGTGAACCGTGCAAACCAGCGTCTGCATTTTCTGCGTCGGATGAGGAGAGCAAGCTCTCTCCTTCTGTCCTGGTCACTTTTTACAGAGGCACATTTGAGAGTGTTTTAACAAACTGCATCACTGTTTGGTTGCATCACTGAGGCAGCAGAGCCTCAGATAGAAAGTCCATACAGAGAGTGGTGAGGACAGCGGAGAAGGTTATAGGAATTATAGGAAGTTCGCTTCCTGTCATTCAGATTACTGCTTATAATATATAAGAAACAGACTGCGAAGTGGGTGTGTGGTGGGGAGATATATATACATCCGAACTAGACTTTGCTGTTTCTCCGTGTCATATAATATATGTGAGTACATGCATAATTTTGTATTTATTTACTTATCTTGTCCTGTTTATGTTTATATAAACATAAACAGGACAAGACTCTTTGAGAGTTGTATGCAATGAAATTTCATTTTAATGTATGCCGATTAGTGTACATTCAAAGTGACAATAAATATTCTATTATTCTATTCTATTCTATTCTATTCTATTCTATTCTATTCTATTCTATTCTATTCTATTCTACTCTACTCTACTCTATTCTATTCTAGTTGCAGAACCAGTTGAAAATGAGAGCATCAAATTCAACGGAGGCCATAAGAAGTTGCTCAATTACCAAAGAGAAACCAAACCTACAGTCATAGCCTTGATTATACCCAGATCCCCAGACTGCTAATTGGACCGATGAAAACGAACTGCAAATAATTAATTGTCTACAAATGGAATCCAAATTAACAAGATGATGATGTTTTCTGCCTGAATATTTGAGTCTGGTCTGGTTTGATTTGGCCAGTAGATGTCAGGTTACCCTCAATGTTTAGCCAGCCAGAAGAGGAAGCAGAAGTTGAAAGTCTAGAGATAGGACGACATTTCCACTTGCATTGTCAAGTATAGGTAGTCCTCAACGTTTAATGATCATTCGAAGTTAGTAATACCGCTTTATAAAGCCTTATAAAGCTTATAAACTCCTACCCTTAAAACGATGCTCTAGAGCACTGCACACCAGAACAACTAGACACAAGAACAGGTTTTTCCCGAACGCCATCACTCTGCTAAACAACTAATTCCCTCAACATTGTCAAACTATTTACTATGTCTTCACTACTATTAATCTTCTCATCGTTCCCACCATCCATCTCCTTCCACTTATGACTGTATGACTATAACTTTGTTGCTTTGTATCCTTACGATTTATATTGATATGGTTTCCGGATTGCTTATTCGTACCCTATGACTATCATTAAGTGTTGTACCTTATGATTCTTGATGAACGTATCTTCTCTTTTTATGTACACTGAGAGCATATGCACCAAGACAAATTCCTTGTGTGTCCAATCACACTTGGCCAATAAAAAATTCTAATTCTAATTCTTAGTAAGACCACACTTCGAATACTGAATTCAGTTTTGGTTGATGTAAAAAAGATGCGGAGACTCTAGAAAGAATACAGAGAAGAGCAACCTAGATGATTAGGGGAATGGAGGTTAAAACGTATGAAGAACGGTTGCAGGAACTGGGTATGTCTAGTTTAATGAAGAGAAGGACCAGGGGAGACTTGATAGCAGTCTTCCAATATCTCAGGGGCTGCCCCAAAGAAGAGGGAGTCAAGCTATTCTCCAAAGCACCTGAGGGCAGGACAAGAAGCAATGGGTGGAAACTCATCAAGGAGAGAGAACTAAGGAGAACTTAGAACTAAGGAGAAATTTCCTGACCATTAGAACAATTAACTAGTGGAATGACTTGCCTCCAGAAGTTGTAAATGCTCCAACACTGGAAGTTTTTAAGAAGATGTTGGATAACCATTTGTCTGAAGTGGTGTAGAGACCTCCAAGGTCCCTTCCAACTCTGTTTTTTCTTTATTAAAGCAGTATACTATTTTTCTCCTGGGCACCTAAGTGATGTGATATTTTTGGAAGGGTTGAGAATTCTTCAGGATAGATCCCTCACACGCTCTGGTCATCCTCTTGGTAGATTACTTTTTAAAACTTTTAACGTTTTTAAGAAGAGACAGCCACGTGTCTGAAATGGTATAGGGTTTCCTGCTTGAGCAGGAGGTTGGACTACATAACCTCCAAGGTCCCTTCCAATTGCTATTCTGAAAAAAAAAAAAGACTTATTACCGTTTTTCACTTATGGCCATTGTAGCATCTCCAGAGTCACGTGATCAAAATTGAAAGGTCGTAAAATGGGGCAAAACTCGCTTAAAAACTGTCTTTACCCTGACTACTATAGATTTATTTATTTATTTATTTATTTATTTATTTGTTTGTTTGTTTGTTTGTTTGTTTGTTCAACTTGTATGCCGCCTTTCTCCGAAGACTCAAGGCGGCTTACAATGCATTTAAAAACCATATATAAAAACATTAAATATTAAAATATTAAAAACAATTAAAACTCATTCACGTCATTCATGGCCAGATCTCGCCAGATCGCAACAGCGAGATCAACGGCCCCAGGCCTGCCGGAAGAGTCAGGTCTTCACCGCTTTCCGCAAGGCCAATAGGGTGGGGATGGTCCGGATCTCAGGAGGTAACTGGTTCCAGAGAGCCGGGGCAGCCACAGAGAAGGCCGTCCCCCACGGGCCCGCTAGCTGGCATTGTTTAGCTGACGGGACCCGGAGGAGACCGACTCTGTGGGATCTTACCGGTTGCTGGGAGCTATGTGGCAGAAGGCGGTCTCGACTATAACCTGGCCCTGAGCCATGTAGGGCTTTAAAGGTAATAACCAACACCTTGAATTGTGACCGGAGACCAATAGGGAGCCAGTGCAGCTCGCGGAGAATTGGTGTAATGTGGGTGTACCTAGGTGCACCCACGACAGCTCGGGTGGCTGCGTTCTGGACCAACTGTAGTCTCCGAACACTTTTCAAGGGTAGCCCCATGTAGAGCGCGTTGCAATAATCTAACCGTGAGGTGACATTTAAGAGACACTGCAATGCCTGAACTGGATGATTCCTGTAACCAGGATGAACACCAATAAAGGAGAATATTTGTAGCTCAGGGTTGACATGAGGGGTCCTTGGTGCTCTCTGAGCTTGCTTGTTTTCTTGCAGACGTTTCATGACCCAACTAAGTAACATCATCAGTGCTAGTAAGGAGTGGGGCTCTCAAGTTTATATTCTGGTGACTTGTGGGTGGGAGCGGTCTTAAAAGATTCTTTGGTTGGGCTATTTGCTGATGGCTCTTTGGCAATTTCTCGATTGGGGTATTGTTTGCTTGATTGTTGGTCTGACATTAACCTTGATGATGTTACCTAGTTAGGTCATGAAACGTCTGTTTTCCTTTACACCAGGGTAAGTTCATCTCTGGCCTTGTCCGTTTTGGCAACTTAAGAGCTCCGGCCATTTATGGTTTCTGGGGATTCCATTCTAGCATTCCTGTGCTGCGGAAAAAAATCCTCGCTATTTATGACTATTGAGACTTAAAAGCCAGGGACGGATTAAATGCACACTGAGCTAGGAAATGAGGGCATTTCTTAGAAAAACCCACGGACAAATTAGCCAGTAGGGAATAACTCTTAAATTTAAAACACTTAAGACCCGGGAGCACGCAGAGAACGGGACGCGTTTCGCAGAGTGCAAATAGGAGACGCCATCTGTGCGCGACATTGTTTAGAATCACTCTGTGAAATGCTCCAAGCGAATAAACGCCGCTTAAGCCCAAGGTAGATGACAGAGGAGAATAGAGGGACAAGTTATAATAGAGGAACAGAACTGAGCTTTTATTTATGGCCAGCCCTGGGCCGAAGTTAAACGAAGAGCCGTTCAGAGGTGGTACTCAGCCGGTTCGGGTGAAGGGATAGTGGCGACCTGCGGGTGGGGGTGCAATCCCGTCCTATGTGTTGTTTGATGCTGCATGCAGGTGTGGATGGCGTGTGCGAGCGAATTGCCATGTTGTTTGACGTCGCACGCGTGTGGACAGTGTGAGCGAGCAAATTGCCGTGTTTTGTGACGCTGCACACATGCTCACATTTCCGGTGTTGGACGAACTGGTTGTAACAGTATGTGACTCCCATTTCTGGAGCCGTTCCTTGCAGCTTGTATTTTGTGCTATACACATCAGGGGTGCAATGCTCCCGGTTCAGACCGGATCACCTGAACCGGTAGCGATGGAGACGGGTGGTTCAGAGAACCAGTAGCAAAAATCCCTGCTGCCACCCCCCCCGATGCCCAGCTGAGCCACGCAATCATCAGAGGCGCTTTTTTTTTTAAAACATTTTTTCTACAACCTCTTCGGCAGAAAAAATGCTTTTAAAAGTAAAAAAAAAAAAAAGCTTCTGATGATCGCGCAACTCAGATGGGATTGTCAGAGGCTTTTAAAAGCATTTTTTCTTCGGCCGATATGGATAGTTAGATAGTGATGGATAGAGATGGATGGATAGATAAATAAATAGATAAGATAGATAGATATAGAGATAGATAGAAATGGATGGATAGATAGAAAAATAGAGATAGATAGATAAATAGATTAGATAGATAGATAGGTAGATAGATAGATAGACAGAAAAATAGAGATAGAGATGGACAGAGATAGATATAGATAAATAGATAGAAATGGATAGAGATGGATGGATGGATAGATAAATAGATAAGATAGATATAGAGATAGATAGAAATGGATGGATGGATAGAAAAATAGAGATAGAGATAGATAGATAGATAGATAGATAGATAGATAGATAGATAGATAGATAGAGATTCTGGCCATCAGAATCACATTGTAAGTACCCCCAGAGAGGGTTCACTAAGTGACCATCATAAGCCGAGGACTACTTGCAAAGCCCGCAGAGCCCTGGTGGAGTTGTAAAGCCGTGCACGTGTATAGAAGAGCAGGCCAGATGCTAGGAAACAGCAGAAATCCCTCCCCCCCGCCACAACCGCCACCTGCGGGAGGCACCTACCAGGAGCAGCTGCAACAGCAGCACCAGCACAAGCAGCAGGGGTTGCCCCGTCGGTGGTTGCTGGCCCTCCGCAGTGCAGCCGGAGAGGTCTCATGCTGGGACATTGGAAGGGGTCTGTCCGGGTACGGCGGCTCTGGGTACTGCAAAGGAGAGGAGCCAAACAGAGAGGGTGAGGAACAAGGCGTCTCTGGCTAGGAAACTCCTCGGGAGGCCCTGCACAGAACATTCAATCCTTCCTTCCTTCCTCACTCACTCACCGATTCATTCCCTCGCTCACTGACTGATGGATGAATTCATTCATTCAACCAGAGGTGGGTTTCAGCAGGTTCGGACCCGTTCTGGCGAACCGGTTGCGGAAATTTTGAGTAGTTCGGAGAACCGGTAGTAAAAATTCTGACTGGCCCCGCCCCCATCTATTCTCTGCCTCCCGAGTCCCAGCTGACCGGGAGGAAATGGGAGATTTTGCAGTAACCTTCCCCTGGAATGGGGTGGGAATGGAGATTTTACAGTATCCTTCCCCTGCCACGCCCACCAAGCCATGCCACGCCCACCCAGCCACACCCACAGAACCGGTAGTAAAAAATTTTGAAACCCACCACTGCATTCAACCCATCAATAGATGTTGAGCCGTGGTGGCGCAGTGCTTAGAATGCGGTATTGCAGGCTGACTCTGCCCACAGTCGGGAGTTCGATTCTGACCGGCTCAAGGTTAGACTCAGCCTTCCAGTAACAAGCCTGCATTGTTCCTATTATGGCAGTGAATTCAATACTAAACCGGTGACTTGTTAAGAATAAAATAGTTATAAAATATAAGGTCCGCTTTGTCAGAGTTTGTTGTGCAAAAATCAAATCCGGAAAGCACACACAGGCAGATTGATGCAGCAGGATTCATTAACTTCTTTATATACATAATAAAACATGAAGTACATTTACAATACCAATAACAGATTCTTCCGATGTAGCAGTTACAAGCAAAACACATGGCAGGAGAGAACAGTTAGTTTAATTTCAGCAGAGCAGGCTAGTTTCAGTTCCTCTGCACAGACTCAGAAGCTGCAGACTAAGACATGCCCTGGCTCCAGTCTGTCTCAGCTCCCAAACAGCCCTCATTGGCTGATTTAGTTGCTATGCCTATACATTGGCACCTTGTTACCATGTCTTCCCAGTCATGAGTATTCTGACATGGTTTTTCCTTCTTCATTTGTATTTTTAATTTGTACTTTTCATTTTCTTTTAAAAAAATATTTTAAAAACTGTCTTGCTAATTGTGCATAACTAACCACGTAAGTACAGGTAGTCCTCGACTTACAATCATTCGTTTAGCGACCAGTTACAGCAGCACTGAAAAACACGACCATTGCAACATCCCCATGATCAAAATTCAGATGCTTGACAACTGACTTGAACTTATGACGGTTACACTGTCCCTAGGTCATATGATAACCATTTGTAACCTTCCCAGCCGGCTTCCCGCAAACAAAATCAAAGGGAGAAGCCAGATTCACGGAACGACCGCATGATTTGTTTAACAACTGCAGTGATTCGCTTAAGAACCGTGGCAAAAAATTATCTTAAACCGAGCTGAAAGTCACTTAACAACTGCCTTGCTTAGCAATGGAAATTTTGGGGGTCAATTGTGGCCGTTAAGTCGAGGACTAACTGTAACTAGAGTCTTTTCTTGGGTCAATGTGAGTTGATGTCCTACAACCCCCCCCCCTTCCCCCCGGGTCCATGAACTGGTCCCAGTCTGTGGCCTGTTGGAACTGGGTCATGCAGCGGGCGAGTGAAGCTTCATTTACATAAATAAACCAGGAGACTGTGAATTCTAGTCCTGCCTTATGTATGAAAGCCAATTGGGTGACTTTGGGCCAATCACCAGGAGACTGTGAGTTCTAGTCCCGCCTTAGGCATGAAAGCCAATTGGGTGACTTTGGGCCAATCATCAGGAGACTGTGAGTTCTAGTCCTGCCTTAGGCACAAAAGTCAATTGGGTGACTTTAGACCAATCACAAGGAGACTGTGAGTTCTAGTCCCGCCTTAGGCATGAAAACCAATTGGGTGACTTTGTTCAATCACCAGGAGATTGTGAGTTCGAGTTCTTCTTTAGGTATGAAAGCTGGCTAGGTGACTTTGCACCAATCAGCAGGAGACGGTGAATTCTAGTCCTGCCTCAGGCACGAAAGTCAATTGGGTGACTTTGGACCAATCATAGGAGACCTGAGTTCTAGTCCTGCCTTAGGCATGAAAGCCAATTGGGTGACTTTGGTCAATCACCAGGAGATTGTGAGTTCGAGTTCTTCCTTAGGCATGAAAGCTGGCTAGGTGACTTTGCACCAATCAGAAGGAGACGGTGAATTCTAGTCCCGCCTTAGGCACGAAAGTCAATTGGGTGACTTTGGACCAATCACTAGGAGACCTGAGTTCTAGTCCTGCCTTAGGCATGAAAGCCAGCTGGGTGACTTTGGTCAATCACCAGGAGACTGTGAGTTCTAGTTCTGCCTTAGGCATGAAAGCTAGGTTGCATGTGTGAAACCATTCCCTTCCTCCCTTCACCCCTACTGCCACTGGGCTATGGGGCCAGAAAGGTTGGGCACCACTGCCCTACAAAGGGACAATTTGAAACGCTAACCTGGTTTTGTGACTGACCGGAGTTCAGATCAGCAACTTACCTGCTTCCCCACTTCGCAAACGGTCGGCATGGGAAGCCCTCTTCAGCCCTTCTGGCCCACGCTGGGTACTTATTCCGAGCCCAAGGGCCAGCCAGACGTCCCCGTGGCCCCTGCCCGGCCTAGGGGAACTGCAGTTTAGGGAACAGCCCCTGCAGAAAGCAAAAAATATTGCGGTGGTTACAAGGATAACTCCCTGTGCTGGTTTTCCAAGCCTCCATATCCAAATTAAGCCTCGCATTAGAAAATTAGAATAAGTTGGAAGGGACCTTGGAGGTCTTCTAGTCCAACCCCCTGCTTAGGCAGGAAACCCTATACCAATTCAGACAAATGGCTGTCCAATCTCTTCTTAAAAACTTCCAATGTTGGAGCATTTACAACTTCTGGTGGCAAGTCGTTCCACTGATTAATTGTTCTCACTGTCAGGAAATTTCTCCTTAGTTCTAGGTTGCTTCTCTCCTTGGTTAGTTTCCATCCATTGCTTCTTGTCCTGCCTTCAGGTGCTTTGGAGAATAGCTTGACTCAGGGGTGGGTTCTAAATTTTTTTACTACCGGTTCTGTGGGCGTGGCTTATTTTGTGGGTGTGGCTTGGAGGTCATGTGACTAGGTGGGCGTGGCTAGCTGGTCAGAGTCATTTCTGGAAGGTCCTCGCACTTACGACCAATCCTCGCACTTACGATCCGACTCATTTGTTTGCTTTTAACACTGATCAGCTGTAGGACGGCCCTTTGAAGCCCCACGGCAAGAGTTTAAACAGTTTTTTTCCCTCTAGTCATCAGCTGGGACTCAGGAGGCAGCAATAGACTGGGGGTGGGACCAAATAAAAGGTAAGAATAACGTGGGGGGGGGGTGGGAGGGCGTGGGGGAGGAGAACCGGTTTGATGATGTCATATCGTCACCGCTACCGGCTCGGCCGAACCGGACCGAACCGGGAGGAACCCACCACTGGCTTGACTCCCTCTTCTTTGTGGCAGCCCCTGAGATATTGGAAGACTGCTATCATGTCTCCCGTAGTCCTTCTTTTCATTAAACTAGACCAATGATGGAGAACCTTTTAGACACTGAGTGCCCAACCTGTGTATGCACGTATGCCCAAACTGAAAGGCGCTCGTGCGTGTGCATGAATATGCACAGACGTGCACATGCATGGACATGCGTGCATGCGCAGCAGAGACCCGAAGACCAGCTGACCGGCAGGAAGCCGGGCATCCCAACAGTGGCAGCGCGGCAAGAGGTAAGATCTTTTTCTTTCGTGAGCTTCTGGTTCGTCGTTTGCAGGGAAACAGAAGCTCATGAAAGAAACGCCATGGAGATCTGACCTGGGACGACGGCACATGTGCCAGCAGAGAAGGCTCTGCATGCCACCTCTGGCACACATGCCATCACGGAGCTAGACATACTCAATTCCTGCAACCGTTCTTCTTATGTTTTAGCCTCCAGTCCCCTAATCATCTTCGTTGCTCTTCTCTGCACTCTTTCTAGAGTCTCCACATCTTTTTTACATTGTGGCGACCAAAAATCAATTCACTGTATTTTAAAGCAGGGATTCCTCAACCGGCAGTTTGTGAACTAGCACCGTGCCACGGCATGCCAGAAACCGGGCCACGCAAACAAGCAAAGCCCCATCCACGGGATGCAGGCAGCATGCAAAACCATGCTCCCTTCTGTCTGCTGCAGGCTACGTATGTCTTCATAGCTGCTGTGTTATATACAGCGGCTGGCCCTCTCAGAGCTGGTGAGACTCTTCTTTGTAGCTCCTTGATTAAGGAAAGCCAGCTGTATAGAAAGAGAGAGCAAACCCAACTCCCTTCTGGCACTGATGACGTTACCTAGTTGGGTCATGTAATGTCTGCAAGGAAAACAACCAAGCTCAGGGAGCAGAAAGCAGGGGTGAAATTCGCCCGAACTGTTGCGAACCGGTAGCAGCGGAGGGTGGTTCGGAGAACCGGTAGCAGCGGAGGGTGGTTCGGAGAACTGGTAGCAGCGGAGGGTGGTTCGGAGAACTGGTAGCGGCGGCGGCGTGAGGCTCTGCCCACCCGCCCGGACATCATTACGTCCTGCTTTTAACCAGGAAGTAACCTGTTTTTGACCCTCTGCGCATGCGCAGGGTCCAAAATCCCACATGACACGCACGTGCATGCACGCATTTCCAAACTGTTAGGGAAGGTAAGTAGATTTCACCCTGGGCACAAAGGACCCCACTCACTTCACTCAACACTTCCTGAGTCCTTAACAATGTTTAGACAAGTGGAGACCACCCCTCTTACACCACCAAAGTTGCAAGGTTCAAATCTGAGCATCCACAGACGATCTGCCCAGATTTCATGTACTCTCTAACATCCCAAGAGTTCAATGAGGCCTCCAGAAACCGTCAAAAAAGTCTCCCTAAAAATTTAATCCTTGATGACATTACCTAGTGGGATAATGAAACATCTACAAGAAAACCACCCAAATTAAGAGAGCACCAAGGATCCCTAATTTAAGCATAATTGGAACATCAATCTGTTCCATTTAGCTATTGACTGTCTTCTTAAATTTTGTCAAAGGAGATATTTTCAGCTGCCAATGCAGCTGTGAAGATCGAACTTTAAATCCTAATACTATTTAATGTTGCATTGTAGGTACTCTGTGTTCTGCACCTTCCCTTTCCTGCAAGATTTGAACACAGAGGCAAGAAATGTCACGTTCAGAGGTGACACTGAAGGATCCCAGGCTGCTATCCTTCCTGTTCCTTCCGTCCTTTGTCAAGGAAAGAGGAAGTTATGGAAAGAGAAGACACACGATTATTGTGTTCATTTCCTGAGACTGCCGCGATCAGGAACGATTCACCCAAAGATTAGAAAATTTGATTGTAAAATAGTTCAGCAAGGACCACAATGGAGAAGTGATGCTGAAGAAGTTGCCACAAAGAAGAAGGAACCAACCTATTCTCCAAAAGCACCGGAAGGCAAGACGAGAAGGGATGGATGGAAACTAATCAAGGAGAGAAGCAACCTAGAACTAAGGAGGAATTTCCTGACAGTGAGAACAATTAACCAGTGGAACAACTTGCCTCCAGGAGTTGTGGATGTTTTTAAGAAGAGATTAGACAGCCATTTGTCTGAAGTGGTATAGGATAGTGATGGCTAACCTTTTTGCCATTGCGTGCCAAAAGCGGGGTGAGCGGGGGAGAGCACGTGTGCGTGCCGACACCCATAATTCAATGCCCCCCCGCACCCTGCTCTTCCGCGCTTGTGCACATGATCTCCTCCAGCTCCTCCTGCTTTTGGCATGCAATGGCATGGTGGGCCTGGTAGGCCCGTTTTTTGCTCTCACCAGGCTCCAGAGGCTTTCTAGGAGCCTGGGGAGGGCGAAAACGACCCGGAGGCTGGAAATGGCCCATTTCCCGACTTTGGTGGGACCGGAAGGCCCAAAAATCAGCTGGCCGGCGTACGCATGTACACTGGAGCTGAGCTAGGGCAATGCTTGTGGGCCCACAGATATGGCTCCACGTGCCACCCTATACCATCACGGGTATAGGGTCTCCTGCTTGAGCAGGGGGTTGGACTAGAAGACCTCCAAGGTCCCTTCCAACTCTGTTATTTTATTAAACTGGAATGGCAGATCTTTGGCCTCTTTAGGGAAAGGATGATTGACTCTGGAGTAGAACATCTTCAGATCAAGATTTCTCAACTGTGGCAACTTTAAGATGGGTGGACTTCAACTCCCAGAATCCTCCCACCAGTAAAGCTGGCTGAGGAATTCTGGGAGTTGAAGCCCACCCATCTTAAAGTTGCCAAGGTTAAGAAACATTGATCTAGACCAGGGCTGTCAAACTCCATTTCACTGAGGGCCACATCAGGGTTGTGTTTGACCTCGGAAGGTTGGGGTGGGTGGGCCGTGGCCAGGGAATGGGCATGGCCATGGTGGGCGTGACACAGGACTTGTGTCGGGCCAGGGTGAAATGCTACTGATTCGGGCCGGTTTGCCCGGACCGGTAGTAAAAAATGATTTAAAAAAGTAAAAAAAAAGGTTCCGACGATCAGGTGTGACAATCAGCTCTGCCACACGATCTTTGGAACCTTTTTTTTTTTGCTTTTTTAAAACATTTTTTTGGGCGAATAGGTAGTAAAAAAATGCTTAAAAAAGTAAAAAAAAAAGTTGGTCATGCCTACCCAGTCACATGACCCCAACCAAGAGACGCCCACCAAGCCACGCCCACAGAACTGGTAGTGGGAAAAAAAATGAATTTCACCACTGTGTCAGGGGCACATGTGGTGGCCAAGTCCGAAGGCAGGACTTCTCTGAGACCCTCCCTCCCTCTCATTATAATCTCCTTCCTTCTTTTTCCTTCCCTCTTCATTCTAATTTCTTCTTCCTTCCCCTCTTTTTTTCTTTTTCCTTCCTTGCTCTCTTCCCATCTTCCTTCCTTTTCTTCTTTTTCCTTCCCTCTTCATTCACTTTCTTCTTCCTTCCCCTCTTGCCTTCTTTTCCCTTCCTTGCTATCTTCCCATATTCCCTTCTTTTTCTTTTTCTTCCCTCTTTCCCTTTCTCGTTTCCTGTCCCTTCTTGCATGCTCAAATGCAAAAGAGGAAACATTTCTCTTTTTGTTTTTAATTTATTTTGATAGCCGCTCGCCCCGTTTTCAGCCTGGATGGCCTCCTGCAGCCCTCTGACAGCGAAAATGGAGCCCAGGGGGCCCTGTGTGTGCCTCCCCCAACTCCGTTTTCGTTGGCAGGGGCACCGCAGGCTGATCCTTTGCTGTTTCCAGGCAGGCCGCTTGGACCAGATCTAAGCACCCCGCACGGCTCGCGGGCCTGGACACCCCTGATTTAGAGAGTTTATCTAAAGATAGTCCTTGACTTACAATCATTTGTTTAGCATGTGTTGCAAGTTACACCACCACTGAAAAAGTCACTTACAACCAGTCCTCACATTTACGACCATGGCAGCATCCCCATGGTCACACACGACCAAAATTGGGCAGTACGTTATTAATCTCGGTTGCAGCATCCTGCAGTCGGGTGATCTCAATTTGCGACCATCCCAGCCGGCTTCTAACAAGCAAAGCTAAAGGAGGAAGCCAGATTCGCTTAGTGACCGCACGATTCCCCTAACAATGGCAGCGATTCGTTTAACAACCGTGGCCAAAAAGGTCGTAAAATTGGGTAAA